AAACAAATTTTCTTTTTATTACATGCAAAGAAACGTTTTAAAAAGACAATAAACCTATACTGAATTAAAAGCGCGCCAAATAATAATTGAACGTGACGTCATTTGCGACGTCACGTCATTAAATTGGCACCCAGTACTGTGCACGCTGGTATTTCACTGAAACAACGTAAGGGGCTTAAATTCAAAACAGTGAAATTATCAAAGTGGTAATTTCACTGTTTCAAACAGTGAAATTACCAGTTTTATATCACTGATATATTTCTATAAACCACTGAAAAGCATGTAATAAACAACAAATAATAGCCCGTCAAGAGAACTCAGGAACTAACTAACTAACTAACTAACTGACTAACTAACTAACTAACTAACTAACTAACTAACTAACTAACTAACTAACTAACTAACTAACTAACTAACTAACTAACTAACTAACTAACTAACTAACTAACTAACTAACTAACTAACTAACTAACTAACTAACTAACTAACTAACTTACTAACTAACTAACTAACTAACTAACTAACTACCTAACTAACTAACTAACTAACATATTTACATACTAACTAGTTTACTAACTAACTAACTAACTTATACACATACTTTAAATTAATTTTCATGCTGTAAAATAAATAATTTATTATGGTGGAAAAATTTGGAAATGATTGAAGAGTAGATGGATTTCGCAAGCATGACGTCTATTAGAAAGTATCATGAATAAATTAATATTTTAAATAAACAAAAAAGTTTTACGCTTTTCCTAGTTAATGTGAGACGAACCCGAAATGACGTCTGTATGGGCGCCGCCATTTTGAAATGGACGTCACGCAGGTTACAACGTAAGTCAACGGGGAAAAATATAATTTTAACATTTTGACCATATTACTGACTTTATGGAAAAAATGAAAAACATGCCTAGAAATATTGACGTCAGGATTATCATGATATTAATTTAAATGATTTTACTATTATATTTAATAAAAAATGGAATATTCAAATTTGATGGGACAGACTATAGTGTAATATCGTTTTTATTAAAGGCTACTACTCTCCTGCGCCGAGGAATTTAATATTCTTATTATCACATACCAAAAATACAGACCATTTAAAGTGAAAAATAGTGTTTGACGCGCCTATACACTATGTTTGTATAACGCAAATGACGTGACGTCAAAATAATTTTATATGCACGGCCGTGCAATACCATTTTTACGGAGTCGCAAAATCGGCACGGATAGGTGATAATGTTTCATAAAGGTAAAAAAATCAAACAAAGTTATTTTTCCATACAAAATGCTCATTTACAATGATTGTATCATAGTTTGGGGACGTTTCTGTTGAAAATGTGTCAGAGTTAAATCGTAAACATATACATGCACAGTGCGTTAACTAGAGTGCAGGTATTAGTTACCCGCACTCCAGAGCATGTCCATTGATTGGCTCATTTTTGCTGGGGTTTACTTATTGTGACGGCAGAGAAAGGAAAAGCGATAGAAATATCATATTCAAATGTTCTTTCATTGGTTCCTTTTTTTCTGGGGTTTCATATTGTGACAACAGGGAACGTGTTTTTATGTTTGACTACGATACAAAGAGAAAGAACATTAAAACACTCGGCTATGTGATTACGCCCCCTCGTACAAATCAGATAGCCTCGTATTTCGATGCTCTTTCAATTACTTATTACCACTTTGTAACAGAGACAAAAGAGCAAAAGAAAGTTTATGTAATGAAAGTGTAACATGATACCAAAAAAACAGAATGTGTTTTTGAAATAAAAATGATAGCATTTTGAGGCCTTAGGCCTTTAAGGGAGGGAGAGACGTAGGGCTGGCCAAAGACTGAGTTTATTTAATTTTCGTCATGTATCATGTACATGTACTCATGTGGTACTTTTCAAGTGTAACAAGCCTAGAATACACCAAATTCATGAATGGTATAGCAATGATAAAATGACTGATAATATCAGCTTATTAGCGCTGTGTTTCAAGTAGCTACTGATTTGTCTGTAGTGGTCTTTATGTAAAGAGAACTGCTGAATAAAAAGGAAATGGTAAAGTTTAACTTAAAATTGTATTCTTCTCAAGGTTTTATTATATTGTGTTGCTATGTCGTATGTACTTCTGTATTTTGTCTTTATTTGTATAAGTGAAGTACATGTATAGTGTACAAAACTAGAAGATTTAATAATACGACATTTTGTCGGGTTTAGTAATTCATGACTGATGATGATTATCGCTTGGGCTGTGACATACTAATATTGATTTATCTAGGCAAGACTTAACATTAGCTTCTAGTTCAACATTAAACTTCTCTGCACATGCGGTTCATTTCGAAAGGGAAAAAACTGCTTACAAGCGAAATGAAATTTGATAGGAAATATCGATACGGATCAAAACGAGAGTCGAACCCGGGTCGCCGATTTTAAAATCCAAAGCTCTACATATCCAGCTTTTCTAAATTTTAAATTTCGATCTTCGAGCTGGCTCGAAATTCAACTGCAGCTCGAAATTAGGGTTTTTTTAAATTTCGATCTTCGAGCTGGCTCGAACTTCAACTCCGTTTCGAAATTTGGGTTTTGAAAATTTGAATTTCGATCTTCGAGCTGGCTCGAAATTCAACTCCAGCTCGAAATTCGGCTTTTTTTAAATTTTGAATTTCGATCTTTGAGCAGGCTCGAAATTCAACTCCAGATCAAAATTCGTCTTTTCTAAATCTTAGAGCTGTCTCAAAATTCAACTCCAGCTCGAAATTCGGCTTTTGAAAATTTGAATTCCGATTTTCGAGCTGGCTCGAAATTTAATTCCAGCTCGAAATTTGGGTTTTGAAAATTTTGAATTTCGATCTTCGAGCTGACTCGAAATTCAACTCCAGCTCGAAATTCGGCCTTTTAAACTTCGAATTTCGATTTTCGATCTGGCTCGAAATTTAACTCCAGCTCGAAATTCGGGTTTTAAAAATTTTGAATTTCGATCTTCGAGCTGGCTCCAAATTGAACTCCAGCTCGAAATTCGGCTTTTTTTAATTTGGAATTTCGATCTTCGAGCTGGCTCGAAATTCAACTCGAGCTCGAAATTCTGGTTTTGAAAATTTTGAATTTTGATCTTCGAGCTGGCTCGAAATTCAAATCCAGCTCGAAATTCGGCTTTTTTAAATTTTGAATTTCCATATTTACACTCATCATGATAAAATGCCACATTATGTTCACGAGCTGAGACGGCGAGCGAACATATGTGGCATTTTATCATGTACAATATTTCACGAAAACGAAAATAAACTTTTTTATTTAATTTCATTATCAAAGAAAAATGGTTACGAATCCCATTGCTTGCTACGCAACTGTAATGTACATCGCGCAGTAATATACTGATTATTTATAGATGCGTGACGCGGTTCAATGCACATGGAATTTTTGTAAATTTATTTTATTTTATTTTATAGTTTTTCAAGCGAAATACAGAGTATTTATGGTTAAATAAATGTGATATGTAATTGGTTTGCATTTTTGAAATAGCGGTCGTGTTTACGCGCTGTTGACGCTACATAGTGACGTCACGTAAACAACTCTTTTTAAGTATCAGAAACTGGGAAGAAAATATGGCCTTATTGATAAAAAAAAACTCTGTATTTCATGTTTTCCAGTGTTTTACCGTAATATATCTACGGAAGCGTCCTGGTGCCAATTCATAATGTTCTATAAAAAGATAAACTCCTACGTAGGAGATAAAAAACCCTAATTAGGAGTTTGTAACTCCTACGTAGGACTTTTAAACTCCTACGTAGGACTTTGTAAGTGCTACTCAGGACTTTATAACTCCTACGTAGGACTTTATAAGTCCTACGTAGGACTTTGTAAATCCTACGTAGGACTTTATAACTCCTACGTAGGAGATATAAAAGCCTAATAGGAGTTTATAACTCCTACGTAGGACTTTATAACTCCTACGTAGGATAAATTTCAAAGTACTGAAAGCACAGAGTTCGACGGACATGTATACTAGAGTATTACTTAAAATAGCATATAATGTAGGAAAATAAATTATAATTATGTGTCAAGTTGTAATTGTGACAAGCCGCTTTAGTAAATGCCAGAGATGATTTTGTCATTCTCTGTATATATTAAACAATGATTCTGTATTATGTACGTTTAGTTATATTTCTTATACACATGTACACAAAATGGATGGGTTAAACTTTGTTCAAAGTAGGATATACAATATAATTCATTATTAAACATATAGAGGATATTTGTTTGTTTTGCATGTAAGATTGAAAAATAATTTCACTGAGTGAACACCAGATGCAATATTTTCACGAGTGGCGTAGCCACGAGTGACATTATAATGGCTGGTGTTCACGAATGAAATATATTTCAATCTTACATGCAAAACAAACAAATGTTCTCTATATGTTTAATACGAACACGTATAAAGCAATTTTTCGGGATACATCGCCAATGCTTACAGACACCTCACCCTAAGACACTGTACAATCAAGAAACCTGAGACACTTTACTAAAAGGTGAAGTGTGGCGGCATGGCCGTGTGACTAGTAGCCAATGATCGCTTGCCGCATGGGTTCAAACCCCGTTAGGCGCAAGCCGTTGTTTCCTTGAGCAAGAAACTTTACACTCATTGCTTTAAAGTACGTACTGGTTGGTTCCAGGAACGGATTCGAAAGTGTGTCTATAAGCCTATAGCTTCCTACACAATCAAACTTAAATAATTCTGTATGAACAAAGGTGAAATGTCCTCTATATTAAAGATTTGAAATTTTGCCGGGGGGGGGGGAGGTAAGTGTCTAGTTCCTTCGCCGATATACCGGTCCGGGAATGTTGAGATTAGCAAAGCATTCTGTATGCATTTCTTATAAAGTCATAAAGTCCTACGTAGGAGATACAAACTCCTAATTAGGCTTTTTTTATCTCCTACGTAGGAGTTTACTTCTTTATAGAACGTTATGAGTTGGCGCCAGGACGCTTCCGTATATTTTTTCAAATTATCCGCGTTACAACGTATAGCGGATAATTGTTGTCTTGTCCTTACCGTGTTAATAAAACTGGATTGGTCAGTTTTTTGCTTGACTTCGTCGGAGTATATATAGTCACTGGGTGTGACTAGTAATCAGTTTCTATCGAGTATCTCACAGAGAACAGCCATTATCTTTTACAAATGTTTACCATGTCGAGGGAAATGAGTAAAAGTTCTGTGGAGGAGAAAGTCACAGATTTGTTGGCTCTGCATAAGCAGCAAATGCTAAAGGAGATGGAAGGCATGTTTCTTAAAATAACAGCGACTTCTCAGAGCAAGCTTTCCAGTCAAATTGCCTCTTCTTCGCTGACAACAGTCAAGTTTCGACGTAAAAGCAACGAAGAGCAATTCAAGGTCAATGCGGACGTTTTGAGCAAGCTTGAGGACGCTGAAGGCTCGCTGTCAGTTGATAACATGGAAGAAACCAGGCAGAGTATTATTAGCGGTACGTTATGCTATTGTACAATTTATCAGCTGTTTTTTCTATTTTTATCACAAAATTGTAGACGTCTAGCCTATAGTTTATTTCATGTTACGCACGTGGAATGTGTGTTATTTTATAACGGTCAACTGTCTGTGTACTGCCCGGTTTGTTATGACTGTGCTGGTTTTGTTTGCCGCACGTTGAAAGTAATAATGTAAATATCCAGTTTTATGTTGTTTTTTGTTTTTTAAAACGTACAAATGAGTGATATCATATCGAAATACATGTATATTGGTATAATATAGTATACGGGAGATAAGTACTGAGTTAATAAGTAAAATAATTTATATTGTTTTGTCACGCTTGTTTGGCATATTTTCAGCAAAATCGTTGCTTCAGCATCGCCAGAAGATGATTAAATTGGCCGATGCATCGGATTTAGGATGGAAGGTCGTATCAGAATACGAAACCAACCCGCTTGCTAGTGATAGTGACGATGAAAAGAGGATGTACAAGGCAGAAGCCCGTGCTAACATGAAGGCGAGAGCAGACAGGACCAAGAAAGTGAGGACATCTAGGTTCAATCCTTATCGTAAGAGGGCATCGTCACCACAGGACAGAAGAATTGGCGGTTTTTATCCTGTTCAACCTACAGGCACAAGACGTATTCCTCCAGGACTTTATTTTGCCTGTGGAAAAGCAGGACACTGGAAGGGTGCACCGGAATGCGCAGCAAATATATCAAATAATAAGATAAGTACCTATTATGTTAATAGTAATATAAGTTATGTTAGTTCTGCAGACACGAAGTCTGATACAGGTGAGTAAATCCTGAATATGAAAAATTTGAGAGTACTTGGAAAGCTAAAGGGCTTGTTTAGTCTGACATGGATGAGGTCTATAAAATTAGTGAAAAGGCACCGGAAGTGCATGTCGAGCTGTACTCTGATGACGTCATTCATTATCTGGAAGTAAGTAATATGCAGGAAATGTTTGTTCAGGCTCCGGAGGAAATAGTTTTACCTGTCGGTAGGTTGAAAAGTTGTTATAACAAGTTGGAATCGGTGTCTTCCAGTGAGTACTAGTATATCAAAAATGTTATAAAAGAAGGTTACAAGTTGCCTTTTAAAGATATTCCTGAGAAAGTAGTGTTACGAAATAATAGGTCTGCGAGAGAAAATCCTGTTTTTGTAAAGAGCGAAATTTATTCTTTACTTAGGAAAGAAATTATTTCTGAGGTAGACGAAGTCCCTTATGTTGTTAATCCCTTAACGGTTGCATATGGAAAGTCCGGCAAGCCTAGGCTAGTTTTAGACTGTCGACATATCAATGAATGTTTACATTTGTTTAAGGTCAAGTTTGAAGACGTTAATGTCGCAAAGCAAATATTCGCTGAAAATACATTTCTATTTACTTTTGATTTAAAGGGGGCATACCATCATGTGAATATATTTCAACCACATAGAACGTATCTAGGGTTTTCTTATCAACATGAAAACACAATGAAATATTATCACTTTAATTCTCTTCCCTTTGGGATTCGAACCGCTGGGCATATATTTACAAAGCTTTTAAGGGAAGTCGTAGCTTTTATCAGAGGTTATAGTCATAGAATAGTGATGTTCTATAATAAATTCTCGAAATGCACAACTGTTGTTGTTTTATGATAAGGTAGAGATGAGACCAAGGGGGCCGTTTTATCAACGCTCTACGACACGTCGTAGGCTAGTTTTTTGTCGCAGACATGTCGCAGAACGTTAACACCGTTTTATTAACGTTTGTCGTAGCCTACGACGTCGTAAAAAATGTCGCAACTCTACGACAGGGTTAGGGCTGTCGTACGACGTTACTGTAACGTCAAGACCGGCGATAACTGTTTACATGTATACATGCTTAGCACATTAATTTTTATGAAATAACTTTTTCAGAATAAAAAAAACAAACGACATATTTCAATTTGTTTTCTTTTAATGTCAATCGCTTATAAAGGGACTTTATACATGCGCTCTAAGTATAAGAAAGAGACAGAATATACAAATCTTATACCCTATAAAAATGTCTAAAATATCGTTCGTTTGGAGCAAATATACCTTTACGGTCATACTCTATTCTATTAATAATGAGTTCCAAAGATGTCTTCGGAAAATAGAATAAAAAATAAATTAACTCACATCTTTTTTATTTCACATTAATATTGGAAAAATCATAATATTTTAACTAGATTTTACATAAATTTAGATATTTCTTTGAAGAAACCCATATGGTATAAAATCAAGGACACAGGAAAGTTACTGTGGTCATGACTCCGGAAAAACAATTTTAAAAAGAGAAAAAAAAATAGTCAATAGAATATAAAAAAGATCAACAAGACAAGGCGACATTAATTAAAAGTTACCGTGGATGAAAAGCACTAATGTTTAAATTATCAATTTTATGGTAAACTGCAATATACAGTGTACATATAATAATTCAGTCTGCACAGTCTGCACAATTTGCATGGTGTATTAATTATGCATTTTAAATCTTTAAAAAAAATCTAGAATCCGAACTGTAACTACGTAAATTGCAATTCCGGATGGGGAGTTATTTAGTATACTACAACTACATGAGATATACGTATATATATGTATAAGTAGCCTGTGATTCATGGGTTGATATATTTTTTGCTTATTCATAACTTACGCGCTATTTAATACTCATAATCGTCATAGGTAACACAACATCTTTGGTTTTGATAGTATCAATATATGAGCCGCGTCATGACATGATCAGGATCCATGCTGTTCGCTCTCAGTTTCTCTACTTGTTATATGGTTTGTAAGCGAACAGCATGGATCCTGATCTGACTGCGCGGAGGTGCAGGCTGGTCAGGATCCATGCTGGTCGCAAACCCACTATGTTGGTTTTGTCATGACGCGGCTCAATTATGTCAATTTGCCGACAAGAAGCACATAAAAAATCGACAGATTGGAACCCAGGCTAATCTATGAGAAAAATTAATCCGCTTTCCGTAAAAAAACGCAACAACAACTAAAACAACAACAAAAAAGCTACATTTTAAAGTGAATTATTTCATATAAATTACAACGGGCGTTTCAATTTAAAAGCAGTGCGATTAATATAACTTTACGAAAATATGTCAAAACATCAATTCATTATTTCAATACTTTAGCAATAGTAAATCTATAAGATTAATTATATATATTTATTTCAAACTACGAGAAGGAACAGAACTAGTTTGAAATCTTGTGTGTACTGAATTCCTCGGAAAATGGGTAAAATTGTGCGCCACACGTTATACTACATTGGGTGCCATTTAAGTAATTCATATGTACAAATCATTGGTTTTATCATGATAGCTAGTACTTTAAACACAATTTTGGCGTTTCTAAAAAAAGCAGCTACAATTGTTTCTAACGCGCAAAAATCCTTTCATAAAGGCCCATAAAGCCCTAGAAATGCTTTTATTTTGTAAAGCTTTTTATCTATATTTTTTTATTTTTATTTTTTTTTATTTCCATTATCATTAACCTGAACTAACGTTTGCTGCTGTTAATTTTTGCCAATCAAGAATGGTGTTAATGATTTAGTAATTTGTATGAAAGTCAAAATTTTGCTATAGTAACAATTTTAATACTTTCACATTCACAACTACTTTCTTTAGAAATACAGGCAAAACAAAAATGTAAGTCTGCACAAACTGCATGATATATTAACAAGTTTGCTTCTTTAAAAAGAAGCATGCGAGAGGTCTTTTTGCTGCTGTGAGAGATTTGTGTAATTCGAAAATATTTGGGGATATTTTTTGCATAAAAGACACAATGAATGGTTATTAATTACAATTATTTAACAAAATAGAATTTATTATTATATAGTATCATAATGAAAGTTTGTTTTACACTTCATTTTTTAAAAATGTTTTGAAAGATTATATGCCGGAGATACTTAAAGCGATACTTTTTCTACAAAGGAAATAATTTGTGTTATGCCATCAAACTAAATTTAAAATAAATGATAAACACATGTATATATTTATATTAAAAGTAGTATCAAAAATAAAAGTGTCTTGTAAAATTCAATAAGCACATTTTCGGTTAATGTTTTGGTTAGTATACGGAAACATTTCCTCTACATTTTCCAAAACGGGCATAAAGTATGTTAATCAATTTTAAGTCCCATAATTTACATAAAAATGTTTATATCATTTGATTGGAATAAACAGTATATAAAGCTGCATGCCTCCAACCACAATTGATATTTGAGGAAAATCTTGAGTAAAATTTGTGCCATTTGCGCCAAAAAAATCTCCGTTGCGTTATTAAGTCGTACATGTTCAAAAGTTTAAGGAGCAGCAAAATTTCGGTACACGGTTCTCTCGGTCATATTGAATGGTGATATTGTACCTGTTATGTTCACTGTTACTATTTATCGGAATATGAAATAGTAAAACGCTATTCAGAAAACAATACGGTAATTGATTTATACAATTAAAAAGATTAAAACGGAATGACACATCCACGTAGCTTTAAGTGACGTAAATGAAATTTTCCGATTTTTCTACGTACCGATTTGTTTACTTCGATGTTAATTTTTCGTTTAAGTTAAGTCGTATTTTGAAACGGAGCATGCGCAAAACCATTTTTGTAGACTGCTCCCAATGATTTTACGCTATAAATGAGATTCATTCACTACAATCAGATACGCAAAAATGGATGCCGCCAGCAATCGGTCTGAACACTGTGAAGAGGTCTGATGACCTCTCCAGTTATCTATTTCAATTCTTTTTAAGACTTGAAAAAATATAGTACCCGAACTGTATTTACAATGCCGGGAGTAGGGGATTATTTAGAATACTACATGAAATATATGTATAAATACCTTTAAACAATTAATATAATTCTGAAAAAACACTATTAAATAAATATACATGACACTTAAATGGAAATATTTCATTAAGATTACAAATTGGAACAGAATACAATTACAATTCGTTTCAATTAAAAACGAAATAAATAAAAAAATCAAAACAGCAATTTATTATTTCGATGCATTGGCAATGGTATATCTATACTATACATGTATATTATATTTTTTGTTTCAAACAACTAGAAAAACAAGGGACTAGTTATTCGCTTGTTCATATATTCGAGTCTGTACCGTATTTCTCGGAAAATACTATGAAAAATGGCTATACTCGAGTGCTTTCAGGTTATTATTTTTTTAGTTTTTATATACTGTGGGTAGCTTATATAGTCACGGGTACTCTGCACCTTATCTCGTTAAAATCAGTTGAATAACAGCAAAGTTTGAAAAAAATGTGCGTATTCCTTACGTGGTGTAACTACTTTCAATCCGTATTAACTCCGATGTTATTATAGATAATAGCCGTGACATTCCGATTGATCGCCACACGATATACTTGAAAAGCCCGGTGCTATTTAAATTTTAATTTACTATTTAAGTACTATTAACATACTTTTTGGCGTTTCTTAAAAATGCTTTTGATTTTTAGTTTTCTGTTTTAATTTCCAAAAGTGGCTGATCGGTCGTTTCCATCTTTTGCGTCTGTTAATTTTTGGCAATTTAGTTATGATAGTTATTTAGTATTTTGTATAAAAGTCAAATACTACTTTGTTGACATTTTTGGTTAATAATTTTACATTCACCGCTTCAAGTCATAAGCGGCTGCATGCTTTGAAATAGTTATTTAAAGTCATTTATAAAACCCGTGTTCAGAAACTTGCTTAGACTGAGACATAATGTGCCTTTAGCATTCAGTACAGACCCGGCATTAATGGTGGAACCGTAGCGTGATTTAGTATTTTAAGGGTTGAATCGAGTGCAGAAAATATATGCTGTATTTCTCACTAAATTTGTTCTTTTAATGACATTAAAAAATATTTATCCATTTTCTAATAATCATGTAAATTTATCCGTTTGATAATAGTCATGTAAATTCTACCAGTACTTTAAGTACTTTGATTTCATATGTGACGTCAAAACGCGCACTGGCTAGACTGTGTCTCGCAAGAATTATTGTCTACGACAAAGGCTGCGACGTCGCAGAAACACAACGTCTGCGACACGTTTCATAAAACGGTCGTACGACGTTGTCGCAGACGTACGCCACCGACAAAAAATTGTCGTAGACTACGACACGTTGATAAAACGGCCCCAGATGATTATATTGTGATAAACCACTAGTGAAATTTATAAAATATAATTTTCGCTGAAGCCGGACTTTATCCGAATGCGGATGTAATAAGATCATAACTAAATTGAAATACAGACAAAAGTGAATGCTGTTATCCGTACATTTTGCTTCTTTAGGAAAAGGAAGTCGATGTCATCATGCATCATGTAAAAATATAACAAGCTTTAACGGGATTATAGTTCAAAATTGTTGATGTGACGTCATGATGTGATGACGTCATATAGGAGAATGCGCGACGTTACGCGGCAAAATCAGTAAAAAATACTTAAAATAACTTAAAAAGCATTAAATAAAAAGAAAATTTATTTGTTTAACACATAAGATTGAAATATGTTTCATTCGTGAACACCAGCTTTTCTATTCTCACTCATGGCTACGCTATTGCATCTGGTGTTCTATAGAGGATAATCAAAAAATATGCACGACCGTGCAATACCATATTTACGGAGTCGC